ATATATATATATATAAATATATATATATATATATATATATATATATATATATATATATATATATATATACATACATATATATATATATATATATATATATATATATATATATATATATATGTATATATATATATATATATATATACATATATATATATATAGTATATATATATATGTATATATATATATATATATATATATATATATATATATATATATATATATATATATATATATATATATATATATATATATATATATATATATATATATATATATGTATATATATATATATATATATATATATGTATATATATATATATATATATATATATATATATATATATATATATATATATATATATATATATATATATGTATATATACACCTTTTTACCTTAACCATATTTTTTTGTAATTTCAAAACAATTACCACTCTCATTAGCTGAAACAAAACACTTCAAACCTTGATAATTTTTAAACTGTAAACAGCATCTCAATGCAATGATTACTACCATCAAAATAAGGAATACTAAACTTCTGTTTATTTTCATGTATGTGTTTATTTTAGCAAACCTTTGGTCTTTAAACAGGCTTTTTTAATTGACCTGAAAAAGTATTGTAGTTGAAAGAGGGATTTCTATCTAGTACTTAAAATTTAACTGTTGTATTTCTAGTATGTGCTAATGAAAGGACATTGTACACTAGTTGGTCCTTATGATAAAGTTCACTTATAAAACTGCACAAAATAAGTAGCTGAAAAGCAAGATTAACATATTTTTACAACAAAATAAAATATTATGAAACTAGAACTAAAACTGAAAAATCTAAAAAGTTTGAATAGATTTTCGGCTAAACCATTCCCTTTAAACAACTTGTCCAGTGTATACTATAAATAGTCTAAGTTCAGTTGCTTTCCATTTTTTATTATCTAATTAAAATCTTAATTTTCTAGAAAAATTTCTTGGAATGTAATGACGTATTTGAAACAATCCGCCAGATAAAGTATTTACTATATCTCGAGATAATTTACAACATTTGGGCAATTTAACCATAAGTTGACAAATCTTCGCATTACCCCTAAGCATACTAGATGCATTAAGTCTAAAAGAAACTTTGTCACCATGTCATCAAAATCAGAATGCTTTTGATGACAAAAAATCTGAATAAGTGCTTATAATTAGTGAAATATGTATAAGAATTATCTTGCTACACCACTCTCATTTCTAAATACAACACTCACATCAGTTATAACCATTGTGTCCTTTAATACACTTTACAAATGCTCTAGCTAGTGCATAACAGCAAGATTGATTTTAAACTCAATATTTTCATAGATAAAACCATCTTTTGCAAGAACTTTGAAATCTATCAAAAAATTATGTAGATAATTAAGGTGACCAACTATTCCCATTTACTGAGTTTTCTACTCTTTTTTCACAAACTGTACTCTTTTCAAATCCTGTACTCTGAAAGTATTTATTTGTATGATTTTGTACTCATTTGTATTTTCAAAACATTTTTTTAGATTATTTCATTTCAATTTTATTAAATATTTAAAATTATTTTGACAGTTAGTTGAATATCACGCACGCGTATTGCTTGCCGTTTCCGGCATGCAGGACAGGGCAAACACCAGACGCAAGTTTGACAGTGGTTTAGGTTTTGCGCGCATATTTGGCTGACTTTTTCAGCACAATTGAGAGGCTGTATAATGTACCTGGAGAGATAGATAAATACTACAGACCTCTTTTTCTTACAAAATTACATTTGTCAAAAAAGTTATAAAATCAAAAATACAATTGTGAAAGAGATGGATATATCTATCTCTCCATTATTTGTGTATGTAATCCCCAGGCTGATTTTTAAAGTGCAGCATGATTGACAGTCATGGTGCATGCGTAGTATGTATGGCAAATTTTTTTTATCTATTTATTTAATTAAATAAATAAATAAAAAAACTTTGCCTTACATACTACGCATGCACTTAGGATTAATTAACCATAAAATCAAAAATTACAAACTTAGGTTCATTGTCACTCATATTAAAAACTAGTCAATTTAGCGACACCTTAATAAAATAAACAAATAAAATTAAAAAATATTAAAACAAGGAAATAATAAAGAAAGTAAACTACGTTTTTACAAGTAATAAAAAAAGAAGGAAAAATAATATTAAAAAAGTTGGAACTAGAACAAAAATATAAAGGAGTAACGCAAAGAAAAAAGAAAAAAAAAAAAGAGAGAATGAACGGGTGAGATAAGATGAGTGAGAAAATATGTAAGAGAAAACAAAAACTTTATCACATAAGTTCAGAAGGATAGAGTGACAGAAAACAATTTTTGCAGAAATATATAAAAAAGCAAAATAAAGGAAAATTTAAATAAAAAAAATATATACATAGACTACTACATTCAACATTAAAGGCTATATTAAAGCCTATATACTGACCATTTTTGAAGATTCCAATCCCGGAATAAAAAATGGATTTTTAAAAGAAGAAAAAATTTTTTATAAAATTTGCTATGAATATATCGAAGAATGTATAGTGAATTTTAAAGCAGTGAATTATTTCAAATGGACCCTTCTAAATAGTAAAATTAAATGGAAAGAAGTTTCTTCAGCAGTCGAATTTGTAATGAAGAAAGTAAAAGATATTGCTATTAATGACAAATTTCTCTTTGAAGAAATTCGAAGAGTAAATTAATATTTAAATGAAGAAAAATTGAAGAAATGGAACAATGATTAAATAGAACTTGACAAAAGATGTTTAGAAATCATTTGGCATTTGAGAGTAGAACATATCCCACATGAATATTTATAAGTTTTAATAGAAATTTCGTATTTTCACTAAGGAATGATTATTGGAGCAGTGAGAAGTCCCAGCTTTCTGTAAAAATATTATCTGCAGTCTTAACAGTCAAATTCAATATGCAAAATAAAAGTTGTTCGGATGTGGCTACATTATTAAACGAAGATCCTCATTTAGGAAAAAAAATCCACTCTGAAGAAAAATATGTTTTTAAAAGAAAATAATGTTTTTTTTGTTTTTTTTTTTTCTTTCTTTTTTTTTCCATCTATGTAGTACTTGCAAAGTACTCTTTTTGAACAAAAAATAGTTGGTCTCCTTTAGATAATTAAGAATGGAACTAGATTTTTGGGCACTGCTTTTAAACAAATCTTTAAAAACCCAATTTGGGTCCCCTAATATTGTGAGTCCTAGGCTAAGACGGCAACATTTATAAATAGCAACAACTTTTGGCAAATTTGATTTAAAATGTATGTTTAAATTTTGTCACTATTTTAGATTTTTATTGAATAAATTCCTATATGTTTTTATATAAAATATTTATGAAGTATTATTCTCTTTTACAATCAGCTATCAAGCTGATTAAACTGACTTGATCAGCTTTGGCTTTAATCTGAAGCTAATGAATTTAAAGCTAAAGCTGAAATACCAGCTGCGACCCTTTCTTTATATACAACACAGTTAATGTGATATTTATGCATTGTAATAATACATGTGTTTTTCTTATACTTGAATACATATTTTTTATTTTATAATACATTTTTTTTTTAACATGTTTTTTTATAACATTTAATACTTAGAAAGTATTGACTTTTGCCAAATATTCTTTAGATAAAAATAATATTTTCATACATTACTCTAATCGAGGTAATAAACATGGGTAATATTTACTCCAATCATTATATTTGTTCCCCAAAGTTCATGCAATTCTATCATACATAATAATAAAAAGTTATTACTATTATTGTTATAGTTATATTTACTAACCTGTTATTCCTAATATTTATCAAAAATGAATTTTGGTTGTTGAAGTCACTTTTACTCGTATCAGTATGCTAATATTATCAACAGTCAGAGTACACCATGCAGAAATATTCTTAAACATGCTACAAAATACAAGATATACATAAGATACATATCATATAAGACCTATTACCTGGAACTTAACATTTTTATCCCAACATTTTAAAATTAAGTTATGGAAAACAAAAACAGTGTTTAACTTAGTATAACTCGATTATACTAAATAATCTATATAACAACTATTTTTTTAGTTTTTGTTATTTATTTAAAGTTATCATGTTAAATTAAAGTTTTATATTTATAAAGTTATCAAGTCAAATTAAAGTTTTTTAACTAAAGTTTGAATTCAAAAGTTCATATCAATAAAAATTTTATCAGTACTATAAACATAAGTATTATACTACAAGTATTTACAAGTATGGGTATTGTAAGTATATGTTATTATTATGTATATTATGAAATTGGTAATATTACAAGTGTACAATTTTAAATCAAAGTTAAAAAATACTAATGATTATAAAATGAGGTTGATGCAAAAAAGCTTTTTTTTGCATTTAAACACCTAATTATATTTTTATTTATATCTGACAGTGGGTAAACTTCGTTAACATCATTCATTCTGCTTGCATAAAATATAGAAAAATCAATGGAAAAGAGTGTATCTGTAAAAACGATTTAAAAGCTTTTAATTCCCTAATATAACCTATCCATCACAACATTTGCCTGTTTGTTCTTTTTAAATGTTTCTAACTAAATCAATATTTTGATTAAACTCAAACCAGTTATTAGAATCACTAGCAAAAGCAAAACTTTATATTGTGAACAATATAAAGTTACAGTAAATATTTACTACATGTTTAATAGTTTCTGGAACATATATTTAACAAATATGTTAAGCTTGGTAAATTTATAAATAAAAATAAAAAAAAATCTTTGATAATAGAAATAAATGAAATTTTGAAACAACGTTTTTTTAATGGAGTTAAAAAAGTAAAAAAATACATCAAAATACACAGTAAAAAAATACATCAAAAAAAATTTTTCTTTTTAATTACAATGTAAATATAATGTAAACAAAGAGTATAATGCATAAAAGTTAAATTTTTAAATTTATTTCACGCACAATACGAATTATAAATGGCAACCATCGAGTAAGTTTTGTTATGATTTTTTTAATTATTATTTTAAACCTTTTGGGAACCTTATGGGAAACCCGTCAAATCCCCAGATTCTTCGGCCCTGATAAAAACCAGATAAAACCCAAACGAGCAAATATGCTTGATTTTATCACCATATGGGATCCGTCTGGAAACCAAAACACTTACCCGTCAAAATCCCGTTCCCGTCAGCCCAGACAAAAACCATACGGTACCCGTCTGTCAATGTTGGCTGGGATTCTACTAGAACTCGCTCAATTTGAACTTATTCATGACTTATATTTGTTGTTGATCTAATATTTCCATACCTATTGCTTGGTCATGATCATCAGTTTGACAAGTTTTAGTTGCAATTGCGCTACTTGTAGCTAGTTCAATATTCGATTCAGGCTAGGTAATATTGTCGAGTTGATCGAGTTCAGTAACCTTTTTAGTTACTATAAGAACGTTTTTGTAACGCTTCTCTTCTTCTTTCTTAATTTTTTGCTTTCTTTGATCCGCTTTTATTTTTTTTTCATGATTATTAATTTTTTTTTAATATAAAGACAACATCGTTATAAATAACAAAACGAGCGAACAGTCTGCACTTATCGATTTTTAGTGTGCCTATTTTTTTGGTGGGCCTGTGGCTATAGCCTCCTATGCCTCCGCCTTAATACTTTATATAACTTAATACTGTATATAAAATTATATAAAAACAGACATTATATATAACAATATGCAAAAGCATGCATTGTATATAACAATAAAAAATATATACTGAGTTTTATTGCACGAAAAAGTGTTGCAAAAGCGACAACTCAATCTTCAGAACCTCCTAAAGACTCAACAACATCACAAGTATATTTTTTTAATAATTTGATGTTTAATTGTTATTATTGTTTTTTCTTTTATTGTTATTATTGTTGCATTTTTAAAGCATCATTATTTTTCTTTCATTCTATGATGGTAGTAAAGAAAATATTTTTTTAATTACGAAACTTTATGTAATTGGAAATGATTTTTTTTTGAATTAAAAAAATTCCGTAAATAACTTTTCAAATTTTTTTTTTGGATTTTATATACTTAAATACACCTCAAAACTATCTACAACTTAAAAAAAAAATTAAAACTCTTTTTCCCGTAAAAAAAAAATATTTCTTCTGATGACCCGCTTAATTTTGATAATAGAAAAAATGTTTTTTTTATTATAACATCCTCAGATATTAATTTTCTTTGATTTAATTGTTGCAGTCACCTTGAATTTGTAAAAAAAATTTTAAACGCTAGAACACCACTGCGCATCGCACTGCGCTAGAAGTAAAAAAATTAATCACCGTAAATAATACTGATCTTTCCTATACATTTTTTCAATTAAAAGCATTATTATAGTCTTTGTTTTGTTAAAATTAATAAATTTAAAGTCAAAGGTTTGTAAAATAAAAATAAAAATATCAAAAAGGTTTGTATAAGTTTTATAAAATATTTTAGATTGCAATCTTTTTATACTTGCAATCTTTTTATACAATATTCAGTTTCTAAAATTAAATTACATGTTGTTGTTTTTTTTAATAATAAACCATTTTAATGAAACTCGTACTAAAAGCTATAATATCTTAAGAAACTTTTAGTAATAAATTACTTTTCAATAAAAAACTCATTTAGGAGTTCGAGGAATATTTCCTAATTTTTCAACACAACATTACACGAAGTTAGCATTATTTACAGGAAGCATCTCATCAACATTAAACAAGGTTTTTATCGTCTACGATGAGGAACGACAGTTTATATTTAGTATTTATTTTGCTCTCGCAATCGAATTCCATTCGATTCAAACCTATTCAAATTCAAACTTATTTTGTATGAAAATTATATATTGAGAATGTTTGAGAATTTTATGTGGCAAAATCATTCAGTCATGGATAAACGCCAAAAAAAAACAGACAATTTTATGTAAATTAAATTTCAGTAAAAAATATTAAACTTTCAGAATTCTTGGTTAGTATTTCTGCTCCTTTGTTTGATGAACTAAGTTTGACACGTTTGAATGTAATGAATGTATGAAACAATTTAATTCACTTTTTCATTATTAAATTCACTTTTGATATTCTAAAATTTAGGAAAACTTTTAAAAACTTTTAGTACTATATTTAGGAAAAATTAGAACATACAATATACAAGAAACGATCTAGTAGTAACTTTCTAGTAGCCTACTAACCCGTGTATTTGGTTTCTTATTAGAAAAAAAAACAACTAGCTAGCTTTATTCGTAATAAATATCTTGCAGTTTTTAGCATAAAAAAAGCATTTTAAATCTAATAAACTTTTATAATTAATTTACGCAATTTAGTGACCATTGTAACCATCAGTGACCATTGTAACCAAATCATACAAAATATTATATAGCTTTGGTTCAAAGACAGCATTCAAGTTTTTTTCGAAGATCATAACAAAGTATTAAGCAGCAAATAAGAAAATAAAATGAAGGTAAGAATATAATAATCTCTCAAAAACATTTTTTTAAACACATAAGGTTTTGTCATAAAAAAATTTTGTAGAAACAGAAAACATTGGTATATATGATTAGCGGACTTTATTAGCAGTATAAACATATTGATACAATTATAATATAATTTTATTTAAAATGAGTCATTGATAAAGCAGGGCGATTTTTTTCATTGATTTTCTCCCACTTGCTATGATTACAAAATTTTCTGATACGAAAACAGTTTATTTTATTTTTACGCGCCAATTTTCTCCGAATAACCTATTAATAAATTCATAATGGTTTCTGAACTATCTTTTTTGCCGATAAAATACCTTACTATCAAACTCGTGGATAGACTCCATCCATGATGCATCTTATGATCTAAAGATTCACACATGGCTTAATATTGTGTATATCTAAAATCCCAGTTTACAACATATACCTTCTGATGACTGATGTCGTAAATATATATGTATTTAATTAAAATTAAGTAATAATATTCATAGTTAGGGAAACTGTCATTTAGTCTATCCAGCTGATTATTTCTAGTTTTAGTACAAGTTTTTTAAATAAATTGAATTTCAATATCTATATAGCTTTTAATGAGCAGATTTTATAAAAAACCACACGATATATATTTAAACTTAAAAATACATAATATACAAAAATACATAAATATATATCTATAGCCCTAATTCAATGATAAAGATGGTAATTTTTGCAACTTTTCATAAAAATTGAAAAATTGCGGACGCTTTGGACCAAACTTCGTATTTCTCAAAATAAAGCTATGGGAATTTTTAATGCAAAAAAAATCACCGTGAAGCCAGATATTACATTTTAACAAATGACGCTTCGTTTGGTTTATGTTTTGCATATGATTGGTTCTTTAACTTTATTAATTGGTCTTTTACTAATAAAGCTAAAATTTAAAAAATGCATTCAAATTTTTTTCTTTTTTTGATAATATATTGGAGGGGAAGTTGGGTTAGAGTGGATCCAGGGGCACAGTGATTAAGAGACATTTTCTTAAAGATAAGAATCTTGTTCATCTTTATAATGTAATTGTTTTATGTACTCATATGTCAGCCATCTTTATTTATAGTTGTTACCACACAATTTTTGACTACCAGTTTTTGATCGGTAATTTTTGATTTTAGTTAACTAAAGTAAATTTTCTTACTTTTCTTATGTTTGTTATAGAGATAATGGTTAAAATAATTTTAAAAGTTAAAGTTTTTCATTCGGATTATTTATATTTATGCTTCCTTTTAGTAGTTTAGCTTTTCTTTTAACAACCCTCATGTCCTAAAAAATTAGACTTAAACTTAATTTGTTATAGTGGGGCTTAGTGAATAGGGGTATAGTGAAGGTTAATTCACTATGCCACATTATTTATTTTAAAGATTAAAATCAAACATTTTTAACAAACAAACTAGTTGAAAATGAATTTATTAGTTTTAAGTTTTGAATAATAATATTTGAATAACTTTTTATTTTTTTAATATTTATATACGTTTTGTTATCAATAAAATTCTTTTTTTTCTTCTCAATTTTCAAAATATCTATTTTTCAATTTTATACTAATCTAATTAATAAAAGTATGGCAAAACTGCAGTGTCTTTACTCCCTTAGCCACAAATTTATTTGGCTATGCCCCTATTCACTATCATTATATAACTGATGTGTTCATATATTCACAGTGAATAACTTAACACAACTCACTTTAAACCTTTCAGTGAGCCGTTAGGTAACAAATATTTGGGTTTTAGTGATTTTTTATCATGAAGGGCATACATCTCAATCCTTTTGTCTTAAAAAAAATTAAATACATAATTTAATTTTTGCTCAATTTTAAAAAAAAAGAAATCCGATCCACTGTGCCCCACCTTCCTCCATATTATGTGTAAAATGCAGTAGAAAAATTCAATTTTGATCAATATTTTAGGACTGGATTCTATATATAGACTAGGCACTAAGATTAGCAATAAGTCAACCAATTGTTCTATAATCATCAAATTTTCTTTTTAAGATGGTTTCACTGAGGCTGCCCAAAAGCAAATAATCTAACAATTTCTAAATTATTTTGCAACAAAATTAGTTTAAGACCTAAAAAAAGCCACGAAAAGACACGGAACGCACAACTGCTTTTCTGAACCTGTTAACTATTATGTATTATTTTAATAAAGGAACTATATCCAAGGGGTTCGGATGGTTAGAGACAGGGATTTTCTTGAGCAGAACAAATTGCATCAAAAATCATGCCGACAAGCACATATTTGGAGTCTCAAAAGTGAAATTGCAAACTGAACTATTATCTTTATAATTACTTACTGCTACTTCAGTAAACTTTATCAACTATTATTATTAGAATTCAGTTATTCTAATTATTATTGCATATATTAACAATTAACAACTACTATTCATTGCTAATTTTCAATAACTGAAACAATAACTAATAACACGCATTAACATGTGAACTGAAAACATGTTTTCGGTCATTGCATTCAAATTTAATTAATATATCATGCCGATGTTATAAATGCATGATCTTTTTAAAATATTTTTTATTTGCTGATTCAGCAAAAACTAAACCCTCTAAATAGTTACAAAACAAACCTTATCAAAATGATAATCTTGAAGAATTATTCAAAAACAAACCTTATCAAAACAATAATCTCGAAAGATTATTTAGCTAATAAATCAGACCTTCCTAACATGTTTTATTTAAAATGTAGAAAAAGGTTTGCTGAGACTAAGTCTTATTTTCATAAAAAGTTCTAAATTTTAAAATCATCTTGAAGTTAGATTCTGTCCAGTTTTATTAAAGGTTTGAGTACAAACTAATCAAATAACACTTTAGCTTTGAAAATATTTGATTCAAAGCAACTTGTTGAGTCTGTGGGAAAGATTGAAGTTAAGAGAACTTTTCTTCGGACAAATTGAACAAGCTTCAACTAAAACCATGCATACCAAATAAAATCTTGTTGCTTACAATTATTTCTGTAAAAATTTTTAAAGCGTTTAAAACCAAAGTTTAAATCATTTTGTTATAAATTATTAGCAGTAAAAAAGTAATCACAGTATGATTAAAGTTGCATTGCAACAACAAAGGCATTTGCTATAAGTGGCTAGCTGATAACTTTCCGAAATTTTAGCAGTGGCTAGTCATTGAATGGTTAGTAAATAGTGTCATTGTCTGCTGAAGTGGCTAGACACTTTTCCCGGCTGCTAATTAATGGCAAAACTAGAATGGTCCAGTCACTATACTTATAGAGCTCCACTGAAACTCCGCTATAGAATGTTTTCTGGGTTTGCTTCATGCATAATTGTGCTCCGATAGATCAAGCCGCAATCAGTTATTAATAGCACGTAAATTACTTTTGAACTGATGCAAAATTGATCTGAAATGCTAAATAATAAATATTTAGGATAGGATATGTATTTTCTTTAGCACTTAAATTGAACGGAATAATACCTTTAGCACCAAATCCTGAAAAAATTTATTCGAATCAGTCACTTAAAATAAAGTACAAAAGTTTAAATGTAATAAATGTTGAACTATTACCCTTAGTTAGTAATTTATAATTACATGACTGACATCAGAGTACGCATTTTTTAGTGACTATAAAACAGTTCTGTCACAACTCCTGCAACTAGTTGCAGGGTTGCGACAGTTTCAATAAGGTTGTGAGACCTTATCCATCTAGCGTTATCAAAATCTTTAGTCTTAAAAGAAAAATTTTCAATAAATAAATAAGCAATAAAAGTTCATGTTGTTCTGTGGGAATATAAAAGTTTAACTTTAAAATTATAAAGAGTGCAATAAATAAACTGCTGGTGTAATTACTATTGCTTGTTAAAATGCAGTTGGACAAGCTATAACGTCTCTGATAATAGTGGAAAATTAAATATAAACCAATATAAATTATAAGGTCTTTTTTGTCGTGTACTACAAAACGTCTTGATTTATGTTTTAGTTGCATCTCAGATTCATCTATGTACATATATATATGTATATATAAATATATATATATATATATATATATATATATATATATATATATATATATATATATATATATATATATATATATATATATATATATATATATATATATATATGTATATATATATATATATATATATATATATATATATATATATATATATATATATATATATATATATATATATATATATATATATATATATCAGATTCATCCGTATTCGTCACGGTTTGTCCAATAAAAAAGTTTTTTAGTAGAAGGCTTTACAAAGTTAAGTAATGTGAAATCTAGAGTGGTCGTACTGGTTAGGGCTAGGATGTGGGAGATAATAAATCTCACTAACATTTTATACAAGTGAATATAATATAGGTATGTGGTAATAAGTTCTAAATGTAATCATCCATCCTAAAGAAAGCAATTAATCACCAACGTCATTAATGACGTTTTAGGTAGCCTGCAACGTTTTTGGAAGACCTGCACTTACACTATAAACAAGGGCGTGTCCTCTCAAAAAATCTCATTGCCTACACTTAACGTCATGTTACTCATTTTATTGCAATATAACTTGACTTTCATACATTTGCCACTTATCTTAAATTCTATCCTCTAGAGATAATGTAAAGGTATGATGAGACGTGCTCGGGGGTTACATCTATAACAATATACGTATATCAAAACTTTATCAAATCATGTTAAAACTAAATCAATCAAAAACATATATCAAATCAGGTAGAAACAGGGCCGTCGCAAACTGGGAGTGTATGGAGAGTTTTCATTCCCTCCTCTTAATTAAAAAAAAAACTGTTACGTATGCATATGAGTTGGCACATTTGTACATTTAGCATTTAAGTTTTGAAGTATAATATCAAATATCGATTAAAAAAAAAAATGAAAGCTTCTAGACAACTGGATATTTCAGCAACTTAGACTGTTGAGTTTTTATAGACTAACAATTTTTTAATTTACTAATTGTAGATATAAACTTAATTGAAACACTTTAAAATTTTTTTATCAAATATAATTATAATAAAATTTTATTTGGATAAAATAAAAGTTTAAAATATTTATATTTGGATAATCAACAATATTCATAATTATCAACAATATTCATTAAAATATAATTTTATATTGTTGTAAATAACTTTTGTAAAAATTGAATGTTTTTTAAAACTATAAAAAACCATAATAAAGTCTGTAAAAAAAGTGTCATGTTTTAGACCTTGTACGACTAAAATAACAATGTAAACTGCTTTTTGTGTAAACAACTTTGTAATTATGCATTATATATATTTTGCATTTAAATTTTTGCAAATAATAATAATATATATTTTATGACTTTTTTTCAGGAATCTTTGCAAAATTCTCTGCAACATAAAAAATGGTTAAAAAAAAGAAAATACACATCCATAGCATTCGCAATTCAAAGTTTGATTTTAGGCATAGAATACAGTGTAACACTTTCAACTCTTTGGTTATATATAAAAGAACTAGTGAACACCAAATCACCAAAATTATTTTACACATTAGTATCTGTTATGTACATACTTTCATTCACCTTAAGTACTCCGATTATTGGGAGAATAGTTGATCGCACTCGCCAGGTTCGAGTTTGGTTTTTTATCTGCAACTGCTTTTTAATTGCTGGAAATTTATTATACAGCCTTCAGTTTTCTCCTTGGTTTTTAGTGGTTGGTAGATTTTTATCTGGATGCTGCGGTTTAAGATCTGTTATGTGTGCCGAGATTATTAGAAGTTATCCATCTAGTAAAACAAGTTTTCAGCTATCAATTCAATCATTAACTTTTAACTCTGGATTCATAGTAGGACCTTGTATTAACTTTTTGTTTTTAAAAATTGACTTTTATATAGGAAGCTGGCATTTAAAAAATGTCAATTTTATTGGAATATTTATGACCATAGTTTCTTTAATCATGTGTTTACTATCGTTTTTAATGGTTCACAATTTATCGAAAGAATTTGATTTAAAAGGAATAAAAGAAAAAAAAAATAAAAACGTCGGAAGTACGAATATCGAATTATCAAAAGAATCTCCAGTATCCTTTACTAATACAGAAGTGATTTCCGATATAAACAATGAATCTAATGAAAAGTTACCACTACTCAATTCTATAAAACTTCAAATTAGTAATGAAGCACCGAGTTCATTACCTCGTTTGAGCATTTTTAGGATTTTGAAACTGCTGTTTACATCGTTTGATACTTCGTTGTTGTTGTTTAGTACGTTTTTTATTTTACTTTTTCTCGTTACTTTTGACATGTGGTTTCCGTTGTTTGTTATAGACACTTTAAAATTGTCTCTTTTAGAACTTAACGTTTGTATTTTTGGTACAGGAATAAGTTCTGTTTTAATTCTATTAATTTTTATCTGCAAACCTATATCAGAAGAAAAAATGTTTATTGTGGTTATGATTGGACTATTTGGTATTTGCATAATTAACGTGAGCTACATTGTTTTGAAATACTTTAATACTAAACCACTACAACTAATTTTTGGCATTGCGTACATGATTAATTTTGCTGGAGCAGGTATAATACCAGAGGTTTTTATTGCAAACACCTTAGCTAAATATGTTAGTTCAAATAATCAAGCTTTTGTGGATGGCATACGCAACTCAATGTATGCAGCAGGAACACTAGCAGCGTTTTCAAGTGCTGCGTTTACATTTGAATACTTAAGTATATTTTCATCTACATTTATTGTATTAACATTATTATTAATGGTTTTGTTGATGGCGAGAAGAAATCATTTACTTAATCCAAAACTAATATTTTAGCATTTGTTACTTTTTTAGGAATTTTTCATTTTTAAGAATATACAGAACAATAATTTAAAGCATTATTTACTTTTTTTAGGAGAAATAATTTTAACATTGAAACTATTACACTTTATAAATGAATAACTTTTAAATAAAAAAATAATTTTAACATTGAAACTATTTCACTTAATAAACAAATTATTGAAGCCAAACTGATCATTTGCTACTTATCCAGTAAACTGCTATTTTGAAGTTGTTGATTGAAGGTGATTGAATTTATTCACATGAATCAATTCATATTGTCAAATGATTATTTGACAGAGCGTTTCATAAATTCAGTTCTTTCAGTTTTACAAAAATTTTAGAAAGAATAATGTATAACCGAATCTACCCTTATCTTATTGAAAATAACATTCTATACGAAAACCAATTTGATTTAAAAAATAACTTAACCGAGCATATCATTCTTTAACTTATGCACAATGTAACTGACTCTTTTCAAGACTCTTATTTTACACGAGGAGTGTTTATTAATTTTCCAATAGCATTTGATACCGTTAAACATCAAATCATGTTAAAAAAACTATTTTCAATTGATATTAAAAATAAAACTCTATTATGGTTCGAAAGTTATCTAACTACCGTAAACAGCTAAACATAGAATCGCTATTGTAAACAGCTTGTTTACAATAATGATTTTATTTCTTATCTATTAATGAATATAATATGTTTGTGTGTTACAAGGATCTATACTTCATTTGTTTTTCTAATATACATAAATAATTTTCATAGATCATCAAATTTAACAACAATGCATTTTGCAGATGACACAAAATTTTGTTTGTCTTTTACTAAAATTAAAATTGCACTAAAAAAAGTTTCTGTTTGGTTTAAACAAAATAGAATAAAAAAAATATAAAAAAAAAATAAAAGGACACTCTTTTATCCACCATCAAAAAAATAGACATTACGCCATATCATGCCAGACCTTTAAATTAATAATATAATGATAAAAAGAGAAAAAGTGACAAAGTTTCTCGAAAAATTATTATTGATAATACCTCCAATAAAATCTTGAAAAAATCATATTGATAATACCTCTAATAAAATTTCTAAAGGCATCGGAGTTCTCTATAAAGCAAGAAATATATTAGGTAAACACCAGTTGACACAATTATATTATTCATTTATACATTGTCATATAAATTTTGCAAATATTATATAGGGAAGCACTCATTGAGCAAAGCTAAAATCTCTTTAAAACACGCAGCTCGCGCAATAAATTTTAAAAATCGTTTTTTTCATTCAAAACAACTTTTTAAAGAAACGTTTTAATTGTATATCAACTAAATGACTTCAATATTTTATGGTTCGTGTAAATGTAGAGAAATGTTGCCAAATGTATTACAAAATCTGTATTGTATGAAAACAGATATAATTTTCGAATTAGTAACAACCTTATTGCCCCTTTAAGCAAAGACCAGTTTTTTGGTTTTTTTTAGGTCTTTATCTCTGGAAAAAAATAGTCTTACCAAATTTTTAATTTTTTTACCAAGCCAAATAAAATAAAGTCAAATTTATTATGAATTAAAGATCTTAAATCAAATATAATTACAAATAGTAATGGTACTAATCTTAAGTAAACACCTTTATTACTTTGTCAACAATATTGTTTTTTAACGTTACATTTTTTAGTGGTTATAAGCTATTAGTTTAAAATCGCATATATTGTTTTATCTTTTTATTTCCTCATTACTTTCTGCCTACTGATTTGATGTTCGTATATTTTTTTATCTCTGGCTAATCGTTATTTAATTACTCTGAGTCTGTTTTGTGTGATAGCTATTGTCTCTACTTACCAGGCAAGATTTATATGAGAACATACTATTTAGAGTTATATATTTTTTATCATACTTTTGTTTAACTACTTTCGTACTAACCATAAAACATCTTAACTTAATATCAATGCTTATGAGTGGTATTTACTTATATTTATAATACATATTTCAGCCATAAAAGAAACGGTAAGTTACTATTAATTATTAATTACTATTTTCTATTCGCCTTTTTTTTTTTTTTTATTTCTACACATTATAATTGTTTATTTACACACGCGCATACGTACATGTGTACAAGTTTGTTTCTTCTAATGTAAGGGTCAAACCTCATATTTATATGTGTTCACATATCTGTTTTTTGTCACACCACGCGCATTCCTCACCACCATCACGAGATCTCTAAGAATGTTGGAGCTGTTTTCAAAAACTGCGATAGGGATTGGTTTTTTGGCTTTTGTAGTGTAGTCCTATTATATTGCAATATTGACTAGCATGACGTAGAGTGCAGGCGGTGAGATCTGTTGCAAGGACACGCTTCTGACGAGTGGCGTTAGTGCAGGCCTCGGGCTCTCCGAAACGTCATTGGTGATCGCAGTGCATTCCTGAGGAGGGGGATCACCATTTATCCACTACTTAATTCTAATTGGTTATTATGGCACCAACATTTTTTTACCTCCTTAACCCATGTATTTTTGCGCTTAATGAGCTTTTTATTATGAATTTGTTACACTTACGACATTTATATATTTTTTATGTTACACAGGTGATTATCAATTATCAATTTTTTATCTAGAGTTTAGAACATATATAGTACCACATTTATTAGACATTTGTATGGTGCGATTATTTTAGTTATTAATACCATTATAAACCAGCGTATTTTTATTGACTTGTTTACTCATAGATCATTATTTCATCATTTGTTTAAAGACGACTAGAGTGTGAGTTTTTATTCCCCTTTTCCTGAGTTGCTTACTTTTACTCTTCCAACTAAATAGTCTTTGCATTAATTTATGTTTTTTTACCTATATGACATCATCTTCAATCTGTTTTTATTTTCACATCTCCCAGGTCTACGTAACTGGACGGCTCCGTTGGTCACTTTTTGCGATCATTGTGTCGCATAAACAAAAATAGTCTTACCAAATTTTTAATTTTTTTACCAAGCCAAATAAAATAAAGTCAAATTTATTCTGAATTAAAGATCTTAAATCAAATATAATTACAAATAGTAATGGTACTAATCTTAAGTAAACACCTATTAAATTTAATTATAAAAAATAGTGATAATAAAAAGAAAAGTAAAAATCAGAAAAAAGGTGATAATATTAAGAAAAGGAATAAATAATAGTAACTGCAAAAGTTATATAACGATGTTAAAAACAAAAGTAATACCAAAAACAACAATATAAATGATAACTATAAATTAAAATAATTTCAATAATAATAACAAGTTAATGATAATAGTAGTAATAATATTAAAATATTATTAGTAATAACTAATATTATAATAATATAAAGTATATGCAAACTAAATTGATATTAATAATAATAAAATATAAATCATAGCAGTAATTATTTGAAATATATTTATATAATGATATTAATATTATTATTATTATATTTTCTTTGCCGTATAATTAAATTTACAATGAGAAAAAACCATTCATGTATAAAAATTGGCCGGAGCAAGAAGAAGACATAAACTGTCTTATCGCCAAGCCCCGTTTACATTAACGTCACAAAGTTACAAGTTAAAAACTAAAAGGTTAAAAATTGAAGTTCAATACAATATTAGTTCGACAAATGTAAGACACAAGTAATAAATCGAATAAATGTTATTTGTCTGTTCAAAATTAATAGTATATATATTTTTTATTTTAATAAGAAATAAACAAGATACACAAGACAATAGTAAATGAGTAGTGATGACTTTTTCAGGTTTAATTATTTTAGGTGATTTTAGAAGAAATCTTTAAAATCGAAAGTTTTTTCTAATAGAAAACGTTTAGATTCTCTTTTGAATTGTTCTAAGGAGATGCCTCGAAGAATTTTATTTTTAATTATATTTTTTAAAAAACCTTTCCATATAAATGGTCCCCGGTATTGAATTTGAAATGAATTGAGTTTTAAATAAGATCTTGGAATAATAAAATTATCAGATGAAAATTTAGTGGGATATTTATGAGATATTTCGGTAAAGTAAGACTAAAATATATTAGGAGATAACGCATGTTTTGTTTTAAACGTAAATAGCATAACTTAGTATATATTAAGTTTGTAAATATTAAGCACATTAAGTTTCTTTAAAAGAGATTCACCATTAACAGATCTGTTAACGCCAAAAATAATCCTACAAGCATGTTTTTGTTTGCTATAAATTTTTTTGAGCTTCCCATAATTGGTACTTGCCCATGCAAGATTACAATAGGAAAGATAACTATGAATAAATGAGAAATATATAATTTTTAAAGATTCCGTATTAAGAAAAGGTTTAACTTTATATAGCATTGAAATATTTTTGGAGATTTTATTTTCAATAGATCTAATATGATATTTCCATGAAATATTTTCATCTAATATCACTCCTAGAAAGTTAATAGTTGACTCTCTTTTAATAACTTTTTTGTTCATAAAGAGATCAGGTAGTTTTAAAAAAAGGTTATCACCTTTACTAGGTTTGTGGAACAACATAAATTTAGTTTTCCCAACATTTAATGAAAATTTATTATTCGTAATCCATTCATTTATTTTTAATAACTCTTCATTAAAAATTCTAAACAGATCTTTAATATTTCTGTTAGAGTAAAAAAGATTTGAGTCATCAGCAAACAAAATAACGTTTAGAATTTTGGATGCTAAATACAAATCATTAATGAACAGTATGAATAATAAGGGCCCTAAGATTGATCCCTGGGGAACACCACAAGTTATGATATGTTTTTTTTCTCCATTTTCTGTATATATTATGTATTGTTTCCTGTTTGAAAGGTAACTTTTAAACCATTGTAAGTTATTGTTTAATACTCCATACATTTCTAGTTTTTTTATTAGAATATCATGATTAACAGTGTCAAATGCTTTTGACAAATCAATAAAAACTCCTAATGTATAGCAATCATTATTGAACCCATTGGATACATAATTTATTAGATCGACTACTGCATGGTCCGTTGAATGATTTTTTTTGAACCCAAATTGTTTATTATACAGAATATTGTTCTCAGTTAAATAGTTGT